GGAAAAAATCTTCAGGAATAACTGAGGGTATCAGATCGTTCTTTCTCAGTGCCGCCGTGAGCAGCTGCGACGGAAGAACGAGGGGCATGTCAAGTCTATGTGGCAGATCTGTGGATGGTGTCGTTTGTCAATTAGAAGTCTCTAGCGTGAGTGTTCGAAATGGGTGTCGTGGTAGAGGGCAAGTGATCTCCAGCTGGGCGCGTCATGGTTTGGGAGACGAGTGGCCAACGGCAGGACCGGCCCGGCGAACTTAAATCGCCAAGCAGCTCGTGTAGCTCGTGACAAGATCAGACCGTTCTGGTTGTATATGATTCACTTTTAGTGCCATTATACTCGCCCACTCGTCCATTGATTGCGGTAAACGGCTTAAACCAGAGCAGCGAGTGGCTACCTCTGAGAGGAATCTATGATCGATATCGGTGATGGTCCAATATTGGCTCACTCGAGGTATTTACGTATGCAGATTAATAAGAGTTCAGCAGGGTTAGAAGCAGTAGAAGTGATGGAGGCAGGTGAACCACTATTAGCTTGATACTGAGCTCTCTGAGCGCTCACCTTGAAACATTTTCCTTCAACATGACATCTGTGGATAATACGGAAGAAGTTGGTCGTCGTACACATGAACCGTGATGTGAACTGATTCCTGGCGCAAATGGCCAAGCAGTACCGAGAGAAACTGAGAACACGTTTCGAAGAGGAGATTCATATCCTATTGAAGGATTTGGATAGGATACGTAAGGAATATGATATAGTACAACTTGAAAGAAAGTATCTTCTCGATCTCAAAAGTAAATATGGACCGGGAGGTGATTTTGATCTGTGAGTATGTTCTCCTGCCTTAGAACTAGTACTGAGGAACCCAATTTCTTCCCTCTTTCCAGCTCAAATCTTAACGATGAATCGTCATCTCCACCCCCAAATGAACCACCTTCCGACTCCAGCTCTGATCGGTTTAAGGACGAGTTAGCGAGGATCACGAAGAAACTCACCACTCCCAATGTATTCCCTTGGCAAGAAACCACACCCATGACGCCAAAGGAACTAGAGGATCAGTTTCACGAGTTTAGTCAACTCATAGCGGACGATACCCGATTTGTCTTGAGGTACTTGGGCAAAGCACGAGAGGAGTTGAGAAGTCTCTGCTATGAGTTGGGCACCATGATCTGTTTAAAAAGTAAATACGGTCCTGGAGGAGAGTTTGATCCCGAATGGTAATGTTCAATGATATCAAAAAGCCGAAGGCTCACCGGGTACACTAATAGGCTCCCAAACAAGTCCGTACTATTGCCTAACCCTGGTCGAGATGAGACTACTATCCTCCCTGAAGAGAGCCTCCTGATTGCCCCTCCTATGTGGCGCACAATCCGTCCAAAGAAAAAAGAAGCAAAACTCAACCAAACATCATAGCTTTTCAATGGAGAATAGGGGTCATTTGCCATACAAAAGCCCTTTGATGTGCAATTCCGATGGCTAGCGTCGGGCAATCATCTAGGAATTCCTCTACCACTGGTGTTGCCTTCGAATTATTGTTCAAGTTTGTTCTCCCATGCTCCCTCTTCCATCCCAACTCTTCCGATTTGATCAGGCGGATAAACTACCCCAATGACCCTGTCTCCCTTTCCCAATCCACCCCCAGATAGTGAGTGTGGAAGACAGGCACAGATCTAGGCACCTTTCTTGTTTACTCGGCCATTCATATGCCCGTCCTCCTCCATGTCTGACGTCCTGATCTCTACTCCTTTACTTCTAAAAACCAGAATT